GGTTTAAGCTGGTCCTTTGCTGGTTTATGCTGGTCCTTTTGCTGGACCAGCTTAAACCAGCAAAGGACCAGCATAAACCAGCAAAAGGACCAGCATAAACCAGCAAAAGGACCAGCATAAACCAGCAAAAGGACCAGCATAAACCAGCAAAAGGACCAGCATAAACCAGCAAAAGGACCAGCATAAACCAGCAAAAGGACCAGCATAAACCAGCACATGACCAGCATAAACCAGCGGATTAGATCAGCTGTCCTACTTTACACACCACAGAATAAAACCAGTGTAGAACAGAACAGTAGAATACAACAGAACTGAGTAGAAAACGGAACACAATAAAACATGTATAGAATTGAGTACAATGTGTTCGAGAACAGACTCCGTGTGTGCTGTATGTTATTGAGAACAGTTTATCAAGATTCAAGATCTTTATTGTCATGTGTAAGTTACTAGTACAATGAAATTCTTACTTTGTTTACTCCTCGAGAAGAATGACAGGGTAGAAAGGGAACATGCATAACTTACAAGGACAATACAAGATATGTAAAAATATAGAATATACAGTAAAGTATAATAATAATAGCATAAAAAAGAAAGTAATGAAAGAGAAGAAAAAGAAAAAGAGAACCCGTATGTTAATTAGAAAAACAACTGACAATAAAATAATTCTTCACCATATATGAACAGTTTATCATAGAATACAACAGAAGAACACAGTCTACTATAGAATACAATGTCAGTATATATTGTATTGCATAAAAAAACTGAACAATAAAAGCATGATACAATTTACATTTAACATACAATTTACATTGTTTTATAATAGTATACAATATAACCTATTATTCTATAGACCAATGGTTCTCAAACAAGGGCCTCAACAAATTTACCAGGGGGTCGAACTAAAAGTATTTAAATTAATTAAATTAGTACTTAATTGTCTGATTAGATATGATGTATAATATCCTATCCTATCCTAATATGAAAATAATTTAACTCTAAAATGCAAAAAAATCTAAATGAAATATAAAATAATGAAATAAGTATTTCAATTATTTTTTACAGAATATATCATGTTTAATAAATTCTCTAAATTAAAAAGCTAAAAACAAAATCAAGATGAAACAGAAAATACAAAAATATTTCATATATAAAGCTTTACATTAAATACATTATTTAATAGTAATTTAACTCTAAATTAAATGAAAATGCAAAAAAATAAAAATGAAATATAAAATAATGAAATAAAAGTATTTCAATTAATTTACAGTATGTATCATGCCTAGTAAATTCTCTAAATTAAAATGCTAAAAAACAAAATCAAGATGAAACAGAAAATAACAAAAATATTTCATATAAAAAAATTTGAATTAAATAAATAATTTACAGTAATAGTAAGTTAACTCTAAATTAAATTAAAATGTAAAAAAAAATCAAAATCAAGATGAAACAAAATACAAAACAATTATTCATATAAAAAATTATTTACAGTAATAGTAATTTAACTCTATAAACTCTATAACTCTATAAATTAAAACGCTAAAAAAACAAAATCAAATCAAAATGAAATCCCCTGTTCAATAACTATAATTTTCATTGAAGAACAGTTCTGCAATCACAAAATGAGCTGTGGTTAATTTAATATATTTATACTCCGTTTCTGTTAATAAGAAAAGTTAACATTGTCAAAATGACAGAAGAAACAGTAGAAAGATCTTACGGGAGGTCTTTGAATATTGTGTTGCACAATGGGGGGTCTTCAATTCACACAGAATAGACTATATTCTGTCTCTTTGAGCGGAGTCTGCTGTCTTATTCATCAGAACACAGGAACAGGGTTTCAGGTGATCCATGTCTGGACTGTGATAGCATGTTTTGACAGCTGTTTGTTCATCTTAGTCAAGAACTGACGCTTTTATGAATAAGTATTTCTATTAGTGAACAGTCATGTTTCTGCATTGCATCCTGTCACTGGATCACAGCAACTGAAACAGCAGAGAGATAAACTGAAACAATATCAGAAGAAAATCACATTACAGCTGGAGAAAGAGAGACATCTGGCCAAACAGCTCCTGAAGGATGGCAAGAAGGAGTAAGATATTTCAGATTACAAGTGCACTCATTATGCAATGCTAACATTCATGATAGTCGTCACCCAGAGTCAGCCATCATGCAGTGCACAGTGCCTTTATTGTGCTGACGTGGTGCCATCTGCATCGTACATGGCAAAAGTGCTTTCGGTTTAACAGATTCGTTAACACGTGTGATTCATGCATTTCACAGACGAGCTCTTCTGCTGCTCAAAAAGAAACGCTACCAAGATCAGCTGCTGGACAAGACCGACATCCAGATAGCCAACCTGGAGCGCATGGTGGGTTTAGATTATATTATTTGGTTATATTTAACCCTTAATCGGCTCTTTAGTAGGGTTTACGTTTTTGGTCCTTGGGGTCATATAGACCCCAAACTTTACAGAGCGATTGCATAAGGAAATATGCATTTTTTTATGTGACAAACTATATATGATTTTTTTATTTACTTCTCCACTATTCATTTATGCTGTGTTTTTGTGGATATTTGGTCGTTTTTTACCTATTTACTGCACAATTACTCAACTACGCCATAAATTGGCTTATGAAAAATTATTTTATTTAAGAAAAAAATCACTTAAAGGTATTTAATGTGATACACACTACTATACATTGTTTGCAATAATTAGATTATTTTATTTTATTTTTTAAAGGAGGCTCTTATGCTTACCTGTGCTCTTAAACTGCATTTATTTGATCAAGCATACAGTAAAAAAGTAATATTGTGAAATATTATTAGAATTTCTTTTTGAGAAAAATTTAAAATGTAATTTATTTCTGTGATCAAAACTGAATTCTCAGCATCATTACTCTAGTCTTCAGTGTCACATGATCCTTCAGAAATCATTCTGATATGCTGATTTGCTGTTCATTTCTTATTTTTATTAGTGCTAAAAACAGTCTTTGCTGCTTAATATTTTTGTGGAACCTGTGATGCACAGCCCTTCAATTGTTTGGGGCAAGAAATAATTAAAATAATAATAACAATAACATTTTTATCAAGCAAGGATGCATTAATTTGTTCAAAAGAGACCAAAAACATTTATAATATTACTAAAAAAGAGTTTTACTTCAAATAAATGCTGTTCTTTTGTACTTTTTATTCATCAAAGAATCTGAAAAATAAAAATGGATCACGATTTCCACAAAAATATTAAGCAGTAAAAACAACATTGTTAATAATAAGGACCATTATTAATAATTGAGCACCAAATCAGCATATTAGAAAAATGTAAAGTATCATGTGACACTAAAGAAACTGACTTTGTTTGTTTGTTTATTATACTTTGATTATGCCTCATTCAGGTTCAAGATATTGAATTTGCTCAGATTGAAATAAAGGTCATTGAGGGTTTAAAGGCTGGAAATGACTGTCTCAAGCAAATGCACGAGGTAAGTCTATATACTGTAGACCGAAACTAGTTCAAATCACAGATTTGCTGTATTGTAACAAGTGTATGCACCTGCAACAGCTTAGTAATCAATTATCGGTGGTGTTAAATGCTGTTATTAGGTGCCAAGATGATTCATTGGTCTGTTTGGTGTTATGCGGTGGGCGGTTTAGTTAGTTGCAGCATGTTTTGGGAACTGTTGGCCATTGTTGTAGGATTATAGGTAACTTCCAATAAGCCTATTTTCAGGTGCTGCGTAATATCATTGCGCCTGCCAGACCCGGAGATCGGCTGAATGGATTCGAAAACGGTAAAACTCAACTGTTTAACTCTAGGGGAGTTGGAAAATTAGCCTATTTTCAAAAATAGTGGAGTGTTCCTTTAAACTCTTAGATTACAGCAGACCCGTCTTTGTCTTGGAATCTCCAGAACCCCTCGAAATCCCCTGCCCCTTCTCTATGTCCCACCTTTAAATTGCAACTACATTATCAGACAAGCTTTTGCTACTTTTTTAATATAAGTCTTTGGAAGATCTGTGCATTTGATTTCCAAATGTACATGAGTAAGAACACCAACATTCACAGTATCATGTGTTGTAGGAACATTATAAACAATTCCAGCCCATACCCATTTCCACGGTTTTATATGAGCACGTTTTACTGAAATCTGTTCACTGATTCATTTGTGTGGGACGTTCTGTAGGGCTTGTCTCAGTGAGCAACAATAACCAAATGGGGGTGGAGGTTAGCGAAGGGTCAACAATGTTTTGAATATATAAAAAGTTAGTTATTGGACTGTTGTGAGAGTTTGACTGAAGAAATTGTTTTGCCTCAGATTGATCTTTGTTTCTTCATCAGGTCATGTCTATTGAGGAGGTGGAGAGAATACTGGAGGAAACGCAGGAGGCCATTGAGTATCAGAAGGTTATGAGAGTCAAACTCAGTCCACTTAACATTCAGAGAAATGCTAACTTTGAAATGTATAAAAGTCATTGCATTACATAACACGATGAAACAAAACCAAGTGGCATTCATATTGAAGAAAGAGCATATGCATGTGCATGTGTAACATGTCTATAGTTAATGTAATACACAAAGTTTGAGGTCTTTTTTTTTTGTGAAAGAAATTATTACTTTTATCCCGTTAGGATGCATTCAGCTGACCAAAAGTGACTCTTGGAAAGTGAAAAGCAGCAGAACTGTTTCAACATTGATAATAACAAGAAATGTTTCTTGAGCAGCAAATCAGCATATTAGAATGGTTTCTGAAGGATCATGTGACACTGAAAACTGGAGTAATGATGCTGAAAAATCCGCATCGAATTACATTTAAAAATATATTCATCTACTTAGGCTTACAATGCTTTTGGGAAACGCACCAAAAGACATTGGCCACATTGCTCTTTCTTTCTCTGGTTTTTATTGCTTCAAATGTCTAACTGCTTCTTGAAACATCTTCCCTTTCAGCAAATTGATGAACTGCTGGCAGTTTTTTTGACAGCGGAGGATGAGGATGCTGTGTTAGCAGAGCTGGAGGCCATCACTCAGGTGTGGAGACCTTAACCTGTCATCCGTGCTGCCAGATATCCTGTCTTTATCATCATTCGCTGGTTGTGCATAGCTTGGGTCTGATCTAACGCTGCTCTCTTCATCCTGGGCAGGGACAAGACATAACCCTTCCAGAATTACCCACGGATCCATTGCCAGCGGTGCCTACGGGGGAGACAGGTGTTGTTTCACTACTGTCAAAACACAGCACTGTGTGAAAGAATGACATGGCTCTCTTATTTGGCTTTTGATTGCTTTCTGTCACTCGCTTTGTGCTCTGTGTCTTTGCAGAATTAAAAGAGGCACCAATCAAGCCGGAGCGAGAGATGCTGGCAGCGTAGTGTTTGATGCTGCAACCTGCCTCATCGCTTTGTTTCGAATGAAAGGAAGAGCTAGGGGAATGTAATTGGCAGAAAAGAAGGCTTTCATAGGATATTTAATAGGCACGCATCAGAATCAGTGTTCCCATGGTCATGGAAACCTTAGAAATATCAGGGAATTTAACATTTTTGATTTTTCAGACTTCAGACTATTCTAATTTATTTCTTGTAATTGGCTACATGTTTTTATTGCAATCATATTTTTACAAATATTTAACATATTCAAAACATTTACTTTTAAAAGTAATTACGAACGACTTGAAATGTCATGAACAATAAAAGCTGGGCAAACCATGTAGATAGAAATGCTGTTGTTACAGAGTTTACAGTGTTTTTTAACGTGTTCTACTAAAATCGACCTTTGTTAGTTTAGGTAAGTTTGCTTGAAGCATAAACGGCAGTTCAGAATCAATTCATATTTGGTTTTGTTCAAATAAATGAACAAGCTATGAACTGTGAGCTCTGTTATGTGGCATTAGTAAACTAGACTGTTTTTATTTTCATTTGCGAATGCAAAAAGTGAACCCAATTGCTACAACACTTTAGCCTAGTATCTTTTTCATTGCAACCTATCACAGCTATAAATGAGTCTGTAGCATTGTTTAAGCAGTGTTAGCTGTTTTGCTAACTTCGACCAGACTAGCTACTAGATTAGTCATGATGGGTCGACAATCATTTTGAATGAATCTTATTGGGAGTAACAATTACTCCTTTGGTGTATAGCACTTTTACAGATGTTTCTTAAACAATGTGCTTGTTAAGCCTGTTCATGTATGCAAACCCTAAAAGAGTTTGGGTAATAATCAGTGCATCTGACAGTAGTAAGATTACGTTTATTTCCTAGTCATGGCCTCATGGCTCTTGCAGATGTGTGTTAGCATGGCATGACCAGCAGGGGGCTCTTAATATCACTAATTGAGGAAATTAATCTGCTGACAGATGCACAACTGTCAATCCTCTTCCAATGGCTCAGTTTGGGATTAATGTAAACATTCTGTTCATGTATGGATGCATTTATATCCATATATGTATCTACGTTTATCTTTAATACTGTAATTATAAAGGTTTTTCTTTGGCTCTCACAGCCATGGAAAAATCTTGATTGAATTTTAATGGATTTTAATATATATATATATATGTGTGTGTGTGTGTGTGTGTGTGTGTGTGTGTGTGTGTGTGTGTGTGCACATTTTTACATTTAGTCATTTAGCAGACGCTTTTATCCTATATATATATATATATAAATAAATAAAGTAATACTTTTATTCAGCAAGAATGCATTACATTGATCAACAGTGACAGTCCACTTTGAAAGTGTAAGGATATTTTGTTACAAAGAAGGTGACACTGAAGACTGGAGTAATGATGCTGAAAATTCAGCTTTACCATCACAAAAATAAATTACATTTCAAAATATATTCAAATAGAAAATTTAAAATTGTGATAAGTGGGTGTTAGGCAACTTATATCCGGGAGGAGGCGGGCGCAGGTGAAGCGTAGCCACGCCTCTAGGGCGCGAGTTAGAACGCGGGGCGGGGCTATTGTAAGCCCCTCCTCCATTCCATTGCCTCCGCACGGTACTGTTGAGCAGAGATCAGACTCCCGTGGATCGGAGCGCAGATCCGCAGCTGACCCTCATCACACAGACACACTGTTCAGATAACACATCACGTTCAGCACCGTTTATGGTTTTAACTGAAGATTTCACAATGTCTCGCACCGACGAGGTCCACCGCATTACGGAAAATGCCTATAAGGTAAAGTGCATTGATCCAACTGATGGAACAACTTAATGATCACAGGTGGTGATCTAATGAGACTTGTGTAACGAAAGTGCATGCTTTAGATATGAGTTATCGTCGTTGTTTATTGTATTGCATAAGGTGATTCTCTTAAGTGGCTTTACGTTTAGATTTATCATCGTTAATGAACTTGATGGGAGATCAAGTTTGTTGTTCGTGTTGCTCATGTCATTTAAATGAATTGCACCATGAGAACAAGTGATTTGCATTGCTTTTTACTTATCTGACACGATAAGAACACACCCCTTCCCAGTCTCTCTCTCTCGCGCGCTCTCTCGCACATACACCCACACATATCTATCTATCTATCTATCTATCTATCTATCTATCTATCTATCTATCTGTCTATCACTTTTAACTACTGATATAGCCTAATACAGATTTTGTTTAAATGTCCGATAACCGATATGGAGAGCTGGTTTCAATTAGTTTTGTTTCTGCTTTTGACTAAGAAATACAAAATAATTTAACAAAAACAAGCACATGCTTAATATGAATTATTTTTGAGTATTTGCAATTCAATTTGCAATGCAGTTATATTTAAGGCAGGTTTGTTAACTAAGTGATCACAAATGTATATACCTATGGCTGTTTGCAGGTATGTCTAGCTTAAAATATTATATAAGTGCACCAATTAGTTTGCACAAAACAGTACACTACCTGTAATGCACTACTCTATCTAAGAGATTGCCAATATTACTTTTCATGACTAATGTGATATATAGATTGTGTAAATGTCTGGTAACTGATATGCAGATTTTAATTAGTTTTAATTCGGCATTGTGTCTAAGAAAATACATATTTTATGTAATGCATAAATATTATTTACATTTAAAATACAATTAAATGTATATTATTTATTTAGAATAGGCCTACGTGCAACAATAAAAACATTATGAATATTAAATTCATTTAATTGACTTATTTACTCACATTATTTATTAATTTAATTTGTGTAATTATATTTAAGCAAAATTTTGTTCTGTTTGTTTGTTTATCTTTTTTCTTTCTTTTTTATATAACCCCCATTATATTTTGAGGCTTGTTTCCCATAAACCTGTATCGTTTGCTACTTGCTATGTTTATTGGCATGTGCTCTATCGGGCATTCCAGCATAGGTGGTTTAGGGAGGAGGGGACATGCTGGTGTGTTGCAACAGGTTCAGTCAATGTGTCTCGTCAATGTTTCAATAGATTCCCAATGGATTCCTGCTGCAGTTTTTGGTCTGTAACTTAAAAAAACAAGTTAATATTTACCACACCAGTAGGATTACGGCTCTCATCAGATGCTTAAGCCTGTTAAATAGGCCACCCGAAGGCCAACACCTAAAACGAGGACACAGAAACTATTCTGGTTGATTGAGGGCAAGCGGATGTCTCCCGTATCCGGGGTGTTACTCTTAAAGCAATGGAAAAGTGACTACGAGGACTAGCATACGGCACGATTCGCATAATATTTTCAATCGTTCTGACAGATATTTAAATTCTAGTTTACTATGTCAGTCTGTAGATTTACATTTCATAAACCTAAAGTGGGTTAGACCTCACGGGAGGGGTTTGAATTAGTCCGCTAGCTGTCTATTGGTGATTTGCCGGTCGTTTAACACAGAATCGCTGTGTGCCAATTCTTAGAGGGCTGGATCATTCGTCCAAATCCACCCGCTATTCAGATAGCTTGTTAAATCAATCAGCTAAAGAACATTGATTGAGTTCAAAAGGAGAGCAGTATTGATGAGTGTTCTGTGTGAGAGAGAAAGAGCAGCGAAAGATAAGAGGGGTAAACATCAGTGGTGAGATGTTAAACATCTGCTGAAGTGTCACAGGAAAGCCAGAACATGCTCTGTGACTCAACGCATGGGTGTATCAGGGCGTATGTGTTCACAAGTGTGTGTGTGTGTGTGTGATCGGTTGTTACTCAACTGTGCACACAAACCACTCCCTACCTGCGAGCGATGGCTGTGATCCCACTGGAGTTGCCATGGTTTTAAAACAAGCCTCACCTGTGAGTCACAGCCGGCCCTCAATCACTCAGCCTCCTGTCGTCAGACTCTCAGCGCCGGGGCCCAGTCATCCAGACAGTGCCGGGCTCAGCCGGATCTCTCTAATCCCATCAGCCTCCAGGCGAGCACCGGCGGCAGGCCTGATGGGACCTTTGCCAGCTGGAGGGTGACATAACTGCTGTCCGCTCACCTGCGTGTGTGGGCAAGCTCAGGTCAAGCCATTTAGGTGCAGTGTGAGGCCAGACTCTTACTGTGAGCTAATGCACCTGCTAGTGCATTGTTAGCATGTGGTTTCGTTGAATTTAAGGCCCGTTCACGCCAAGGAAGATAATGCTAAAATATATTTCTAAAAATCGTTCTCAATATTAAAGAATAGAGTCCACACAGCTATAACGTTAAAGGCACAGAGAAACGATATCGTTGGAATCACTTTCAGAACGATTTTTTTTTCCAGCTGATGAACGATACAATCATTGACACTAGGGCTGCACGATAAATCGCATGCGATATTTAACGTGCATCTTATCAGTAAAGCTGGTTCTGTAATCAGCGGTAAATCTCCATCACCTGCGGGGCTTCACATTGAGCAACATTAACTACACAGAGCCGTTGGCTCGTCAGTGAACAACGGCTCTGTGTAGTTAATGCTGCTCAGTGTGAAAGCCCGCAGGTGATGGAGATTTACCGCTGATTACAGAACCGGCTTTCTGACAAGATGCGCATTAAATATCGCATGCGATTTATCGTGCATCCCTAATTGACACCCAATCAGAATTCATCCTTATTTACCGAGCTCAAGAATTTAAAGCGCCAGATGAGCATGCGCTTAGAATAAACAGACGATATCGCTAATTTCTTTATAGTTATCTTGATAGTTATCGTTTTTGGTGTGAATGGGGCTTTACATGTGTTCTTGCGTCGCTGTGGTGGTAACAAACCTCAGTGCTCAGGGATTTACCTCAGGAGTTAGCTTTAAATATGTAGCACAAATTTGTGACTTTGATTCCCAGGCAAAACATGAATCTTGCACTTACTGAAATCTCTTGAAGTGTCTGTTGAATACAGTGTACTTATACAAAATGTTCATGTCTGTATTGGTTGCTAGCGGGATCACAGACATTGCTGTGGCTGTGCCGTTGAAGGTGCTGGAAGTGCCATTTTGCTAACTTTAACCACACACCCTCTTTCCAAAACTCCGCCCTCTAAAGATATACCAACATGATGTCAGCAGTCCCAAATGGTCTTTCAGTATCTATCTATCATTCTATTGTT